GAGGAAAGAACTCAAAGATTTGCCAGGGATGTCACTCCATTGGGGTGTGTGTGTGAAACTGAAGGGTCCGAACGGGAGAGGCTGTGCCTGCTGCGTAATTACACTGTGTGATGCTTCGTGGATGCAGCTTTGCTCAAACTGGGGGGAGTCAGCTGACACAAACGTCTCCTGACTTTCTTCATGGATCAAGGGGTGATCTTTGCTTGCTTGGATGGTCAATTTTCTCTGGCAACAGTAAAGCAATTCGAGTTTGGGAGAAATTTCAGGCTTGGCATGAGAATCAATCAGGAATCAGGTGAACCTCCCTCCTTTCTGTGGATCTGCGCAATGTGGGATTCTTTGAACACCTGCCCCCCGCCTCCATTTCCTCTTCTCTCCTCCCACTGCTTCACAGCTCCGTGAATGGGCTGGCAGTTCCCCAGATAGGGCTGGCCAGAGGGTGACGAACCTGGAGCAAAAGTAAAAGAAAAAAGGCTGTGCTGCGCAGAGAAAATGTCAGCAAGCAGATGCCATTCTGTTCTGGGGCTTCCGTTTTTTTGCACTTTATAATCTCCCATGCAGGACAAGTAGAAACAGGGGCTCCCTGCACTTTTTTAAAAGTTAGGATCAAGTACCTATGGACCCTTTATAACTTATGGACTCCAACTGTCAGAATTCTCAGGGCTATGAAAGAATTAGGGCTGAAGCTGGGGGGGGGGCATAACAAGAACATTCCGTCAGAATGTTCAAATGCACAATATTCCACTTGTAACAGCTGAATTTTTTTGCTTTTTTTGGGGGGGGGGAACTGTTCTGCCCCGCCGCCCTCGCAAATCTCTCATTATGACTATAGGAGCGATTGGGGTAGTGCTACCTGTGGATTCAATTTCAAGTACCTCCCCCAGTATTAAGGTGAACATCCTTTTGCATAGTCCCCCCACCCCCCACTGATAAAGAGCGGGATCTGTTGGCCTTTGTTCTAATGATCGGGGGAGGATGCTAGGCTGAGGTTTCAGCTGGTCCTGGAGGGTGAATTCCCAAGGAGGATGGAAGAAGTTGGGGCACGCACATCCCCCTCCCTCCATTAAGTAAAATGTACTTTCACTCGTAAACTCCTTCATTACAGAGTTATCCAGATTGGAGATGTGGAGTTAGTTAAATGGGAGCGGTGGACGGGTGTTCAAAGAATCCCACGTTGCACAGATCCACAGAAAGGAATGAGGTTCAGCTGATTCATGATTGATTCTCATTTCAAGCCCAAAATCTTTCCCAAACTCAAATTGCCTTTCCGTTGCCAGAGAAAATTGACCTTCTGAGCAAGCAAAGATCCCTCCTTGATCTGTGAAGAAACAGTCAGGAGACGTTTGTGACAGCTGAAACCCCCCTTCCCCCAGTTTAAGCAAAGTTGCCTCCACAAAGCACCGTGCGGTGTCAGCAAAGGGGGGTTACTCGCACTGGGACGTCCAGAGGTGAGCCCAGCCCCACTGCCCATGGTGGCCCCTTCCGCAGGTGGTTTTTTTTTTTTTTTTTGATGGACCGGATCTCCCTCTGCTTAAAATTACTGTATTTTCCTTTTTGGAATTTAGCTACCACACATAGATATCAGTCCCGGCGGTAGCCGGTAAGGCTGCCTGCCTGCCCCTGAAGGAGGATGGCTGTCTCTACCCCTGGAGAGGGCATGGAATGGAATAGAAATAGGAGAGAATGGAATGGGAATGAAAATGGACATAAAATCAAACTTTAATAAACAAATTCAAAATGTATATGAAGCTTAATTTATAAAATATGTGCAAACTACAAGATGATGATATTTTGTTATAATTAGCAAGTTAGGAGAGATACAACTTTTAAGTTATATATCAGCTCCCCAAAAAGAGAAAAGTAAATCTTGAACACACACAAAATTCCATACATGTGCAGAAAAATCAGAGTAAGAATAATGCTGCACACGGAGATAAAAAAAAAATAAAAATGTATGTAACATGTAGCAATAACAAGGCAGGCAATGAGGATACAATTTTACGTATCCTGTCGCTTCACACTAACAACAATGCACATTTTGCAAATGAAATATTTCAATTAGTCTTCGTAATTGTCATGCCTGGACAGTGATAACTTTTTTGTATTTCTTCTATGTTTTCCCCTAGTATACATGAGAACATCCTGGAAAAAAATGTTCTCTGGTCATTTTTCACTTTTCTTCCCTACCCCCACTACATAAGCTTATGAAATAAAACAGCCCTACTGTGTCAGCAAAAGATTACTGCACATTGTTTATCATACTTGCCTATCATGAGGGTGGAGAATTCAGGAGCTGTCTGAATCCTTCCTAAAGTTTTTAAAAGAATTTTTAAGGTGCTGTGCATATAAATCAACGGTGTGTACTTTCCAATAAGAGTTTCAGTACATCCTAGTGGACTGCCATCATCTTTTTACCCTCCAATAATCCTGGAAACACATTTGGAGCTCTCATCCCTGATAAGTATAATTATTTCAGAAGGTAGACTGGGAAAATGATTATTTTGGAACTAAGCCAATATGTTAAAGTTGTTGCAATGATTCACTGTAATAATATGTTTAACTTTTGTTTGAGACCAGCAGTTGATATTATGAAGTGGTTGTACAATGAATGGGCTCTTTGGAAATGTCAAATACTGTTTTTACATGATTTAAAGTGGGAGTTGTTAACTACTTTTGTAGCATAGTAATTTTCCACACCTGTGTACTTCAGTCTAGGAGAACATAGTCATGACATCTTTGATGTGATTAGATCAACCACAGATGTGACAACTCTTTGAATATACAAAGCTATGTGACTAAAATATTTTCCCTTCAATACAGAGTGCTCTACATGATCTAGGCTGTTGTTTCAATTAAAAAGTGTTAAAAATTGGGGACTTTGTAAAACGGATGAAGTATTAAAGGAGCCATGTGCTCTAGAAGGCATTCCTGATTCTGTGTGTGAGGGAAGAAGTGTTTCTGCATGTGTGTTCAGTTTTCTTGTATCAGAATAGTATAGTTGTATATTTATCAGTTGTATATTTCTTGTATGAGAGTAGTTTGTGCATACACATATAGCAAAAGACAACTTTTGTTAGGACCACCCACTTAGCTTCATGAGACCAGTTCGCTTGAAGAAGTGCCTCCCACTCTTGTGAGTTCCTTTTTATACCTCCAGTTTACAATTGCTAGACTGGGATAGAGGAAGCTTCTAATTACAAGTGATGAGGGATGACGAGCATTCTGATCTTGGTATATTTTTCTAAAGATCATAGAGCTACATTCTTCATATATTGAATAATCTTCATGTTTCCTCATTTTTTCCACAATATGCTTGAAAAAAATAACCACTCTTCTTTGTGTAATTCAGTGTTTTCCAAATTGTTGCTGTCGGTATGAATTGAATTTAAAATTCTGTAGTATTCAGCTAACATATATTAGAAGGTACCATAATTGAGTTTCTCTAGTAATGTGTTATGTATCTACTTTAAATGTATACATTTGCATAATTAGATAATTTGCTTTTGTATGTTTTTCTCTTCTGGAAAACTTCTTTATCATAACAGACTCTTATATAAAAGTTTCTCCTATGTGTTTTAACATTATTTAACAAAAATGTATGTTTTGCACTCATTGTATGGTTGTTGATGTTCAGGTTCATGTAGTTAGAATGATTTGGAAAAATGTTGAATGAACTCTAGTTCAATATGTATATTTGTAAATATTTATGCAAATAGAATATAATAGAATAAAAAGTTTATTGTCACTTTAAATGTACACTAATCAGCATACATTAAAATAAAATTTCATTGCATTCAGCTCTCAAAAGATAACCATTATGCATAACATTTTTACTGTTCCATTCCTACCTGTAGTTCTCATTGTGTTGTCTTTAAAATTTAGGCAGCTGATTTAGTATGGAACTGATTTAAAAAATTAGTTCTTGAGTCTACTTTTACAAAGTGGCTTTTTCGCCACTTCCCCCAGCCTCACAACACAAATCACCAGTACTTCAGACAAAGTGAAAAGCATTTATTCATGAAGGATATGTCTTTATATAGGATACAGAAACAAATGATACGTACATTCGATATATATGATGTGTGAGAAAGTAATAAATAAAGCAACTGGATGTTAGAAGTTGACAATAGAAAATATTGATCCTAGATAACATTCCACAGGTGGCAAATGTATGGGTTATATCACCGCCTTTCCCAGTTGAGTTTGTATCTTTATACTTGCAAGTGTTTCAAGTTTGTCTAGAACAGTGATGGCGAATATTTTCTGGACTGAGTGCCCAAAGCATACGTGTGACTGCACATGTGGCCCCCGTGCATGCATGCGCCCCCATGCATGCATGCGCTCCCAAATGCATCCCCAAATCCCCTGCATGAGCATGTGCTCCCCGCATGCACGCACAGACCCCGCATGCGCACACGGCTCTGCATGTGCCCCGGCACCATGCATGTGCGGCAGAGACCCGAAGACCAGTTGGCCAGTGGGAGGCACACACGCATACACGGCGGAACTGAGCTGGGGCGATAGCTCGTGTGCCTGCAGAGAGGGTGCTGCATGCCACCTCTGGCACACGTGCCGTAGGTTCGCTATCACTGGTCTAGAATATAACCCCTATTGTTTCTTTTATGATTTAAGGTAGTTTTTGCAAATAAAAAAGAAATGTCTTTGGATAAAAAGAAAAGTCAGTTTCCTTAACTTCAAAAGAAAGCATGGATACAATGCTAAAATGCTAATGTCACCTTTATTAAATTTTGATTTTTAATAATGCTTTAAGTTTTAATATGCTTTAATAAAGCATTTATTAATAATGAAGCATAACATTCCAGGTAACAATGATACCTTGCAAACATTATTAAGAAAATCATCAAACATAGCAACATGGAGGGAAACAAATCTACTATAAAAGTTTCCTGAAGAATTCTTAAGTTTTTTACATATTTTTCATAAGTATGACTAATATATTAAAACTATTTTAAATTAATATTTTATATTTATGTTTGCAGGGAGTATGCTGGAGGTAAAACCATGAAAAAGTAGTGGAAAGAAGAATAATGGTTTTCCGAAATCGTTTTCTGTTTCTGTTGGCTTTAGCTGCCTTATTAGCCTTTTTGAGCCTTAGCCTCCAATTCTGTAAGTATAATTTTATATCATAGCTAAGATTTGTAAATACCATGTTTTTTTTATTGCATTTTAATGTATGTGTAGGAAGTAAAATCAAAATGTCAGAATGATTGTGTGTGCAACATGAGGACTCATTTTCTGCTTTATAAAATGACACAGATGACACAATTTTGAACATATTTCAAATAAACTGATATTAATTATGACTGTGTGGGCTGAAAATGATTGATCTGTTTGATGTGTAATGACAAATGAGAAACGAGAATTCTTTCCCCCCTCACTTTCTGCAAAATATTTAGTTTATTTCATATGTATAGATTTGAAAAACAAATGAAAATTAACTGTTACTTTTTTCATATTAGAATTTTTGAATAATGATATAATTAAAACATGACTAATTCTCAAATACATGAACATAACTTTTAAAAGGGAAAGAGATAAAACATAATTAGATTTGCAAGGTTCGTTCACCAAATCCAGTTGTAATAAATATTCTTTTAATCTTGATGTAGAGTTGATTTCTTGGTCTGATCTACCTCTTGAGGCTGACATTGTTTTATGCTTTACCTATTCCTTTTCTCTTACTAATGTGAATGGGTTTGTATAAATGTGTCTATCTGTAAAGTTTACACATAACTTAATTCCATTTTCATTGTTTGAATTTAATCAGTGTTTTTCTTTTCAATGCTTTGGTAACAGGTACTTCAATGCCATCCTCTTTACATTCCACAGACTGTCACCACATCATAGTTAGAGATGGAAGATCATTAGATAAGAATAGCCCTAATCCACAGCCACTCAATTTTGTCAGAACCTATAGCCAAAAGCTGTTCTTCCCCAGTTAGACCCATACAACGTCCAGGCACTGTGAAAATAACTTGATGGCAACTCTTGGATTGTCTAAGGCAGGAGTCAGCAACCTGCGGCTCTGAAGCCGCATGTGGCTCTTTCATGCCTCTGCTGTGGCTCCCTGTCACTCAAAATATGCGTCACAACCATCAATGTGCGACATCCACCAGCATGAGATTTATTGAGCTTTTCAACCCTCGGTAGGCCAACCATGGATAAATCCAAGAAAAGAAAAGTTTCAGAAGAAAATAGAACGTTTAATTTCACTACATAAGCTAGTTTTGTGGCCGCTCAAGAAATAGTCAGGGATGGGAAGGGGTTTTGTGACTCCTGGTGTTTTCTTTTTTGTGGGAAATGGGTCCAAATTGCTCTTTGAGTGTTTAAGGTTGCAGATCCCTGGTCTAAGGCAAAAACATATACCTATCATCAGCACACTAATGGTACTTGACCCCATGCTGATAGATGAGGAAAGTAGTATTTCAGTATAACTAGCAATAACTTTTACTCATAGCAAAATACTCTTATAACATGGGATATTCTTTTGGGAATGTGAATCTATGAATTACTTCAGCAGATACTTATCTACTAAAAAATTAGAAGTCTTATGTTTAAATGTCTTACATATTAATTTTAAGAAGCCCATATTAGATAAGATACCATGACTGAGTTCTAATGTATATATGTGTTTTTAAGTTATTGTAAAATACATTCCATCCTTGCAAACATAAGAGTTAGGCACAAAATAAGTATAAAGTATCTTATCTATGACTTCTGTGTGTATGTGCGTTTGTGTGTGTGGGGAGGGGGAGAAAGAGAGGGGGGTTGAAACTGATAAATCATTTGGATTGCTTTAATGTCTGGGCTGATTTTTTTTTTTTGTCCACAAAGAATGGAATTATTTAACTTTTGAATAAATGTTTAGATTTCTTCATGTATATACCATCATGCATTCCTCATAATATAAAGCATCTGTTCAGGACAAAATTAAGCTCTTGACAAAAGGCGACTTATAAATGTTGTATAAAGAAAGGAGTTTTTTGTCATTATATAGATGAAAGATTATATACTATTTTAGGTTTAGGAGCCGTTGTAATCTTGGTGGTATGTAGGATGATCTTCATAGAGGAAAAAATAAATGTGAAGAAACATTATTGGTACTGAAACAGACACTTTGTTACTATAATTATTCGTTTGGATTTTCTGAAAGCTTTGGGGTACTTTGATTATATAGAGAAAATTAAAGAGGACAAATCTCAAAACTAATACATAAAGGAAAAATGAATTACTTTGAACCAACCTAGAAAGTTGTGATTTGATAGAGAGTCTAAGACTCTCATTAAACATTTGAAAAGCTTAAAAATGATGAATCTACTGCAACAATATTGGTAAATTGTAAAATTGTAATATTTTGTACTTTGAGAACTAATATTATTTTCCTGCTTACCCTGGTGAAAGAAAAGAGTACTAGTTCTTGACTAAATTGGATTTTAAAACCCTCCAAACCACTGGCTTTTAAGAGTGAATTATTACCTATTGGACCACAGCTGTGTTTCATTTATGAGTACAACAGTAAGTCCATAATATTGATTTTCGTCTGAGAACAGAGGTGTCTGAAATGGCCTAAGGTAAACAGCATTAAGGTTTGACTTTTAAAGGCCTTCAACTATAACATATTTGGCAGTGTTTCCAAAGAAACAATACCTGTAACCTTGTCATCTGTTGTCTCAGGGTGATCTTTCTCCCTCAGGAGAAGTGCTTGTCACTGTGTACCCCTCAAGAGAATATGCATATACTGTATGTGCATTCATCCCACACTCCTACAAGAATAAGAAATGTTATGTAGAGCAAAAAAGAAATAAGAAATAGTAAGCTAAAGAAAAGGAAACATAGTTAAATCTAGATTACAACTACACTATTAATATATTTCTATAATATAACTTTCTAGCCTATATCTTTCTTCCCCTATATCCCCTATATTTCATAAACTGCTTTTGTGTCCTTTAAAATTCTAATCTTTGTCTTTGAGGATTGAATCTCAGAGTGAGCTGAGTTGTCAATAAACGGAGTGAAGCTTTTTTTTAGCCCACTATTCCTCAACTTTGCAAGTTCCAAACATGAAAAGTACCAGTTTTGGGAAAAGCTGATTTATCCCAATCAATTAATCTAATATATGATGTCAGTTTGGGAAACAGCAGAATACATTTGTACATAGTCCATTCCAGAAAAATTCCTATACTGTTTATCATGCTCAATATAATAGTATGAGCATGCCTTTCTGTGACTTTGTTCAATTTCATAGATTAGCAAAAGAAATAGTCCAGAATTAGAGCAAAACAATACATTTTTTCTCTGTTTACACACAAGAGAAATAATTCTGTTGGAAAACATTTTAGCATCACGTTTTCTAAGTAACTGCTGATGAATGGAAGAGTTAAAATTTCTTTTCCCATTCTTGGCAGAACTGTTCTAGTATATCTATTTTATGTTGAAAGCCAATGAAAATTTACCATGAATCCTTTAAACAAAGTTTGCTGTGTGGTTTCTCAAGTTTGTAAAAGTGCTTTGAAATAGTTTGGTTGCGCAGAACTGAAAGAACCTACTGTGTTTAAGGCTAATATTCAGGGGGAAAAATCTATCCAAAGTCGAAAGAAAAAAAGGAAATAAATGGATTTGCTTCCATGTCTGATTTTTTGGGGTAAATATTAATGATTTTTCTTCTGTTTCTTCCTTTTAGTATTTTAGTATTAATTGTATTTGCTAACTCTGTATTTAATTTTTTAAAAAAATAAAGCCTTCTAAATGGATAAAAAAGAGATGAACAAATATAGTAGAACTCAAGAGATTCTACCTTTATTTTATATTGTTTTTTTATTTTTCAAAAGTGATTATGCTGAAAGCAGTAGTGCACATATTGTATGCATAATCATGTAAGGTGTGACAAAATTAGGATAAATATAAAATCTACGACAAAATGCTGTTTTCAGTAGTAATAGTTTTAATACTCAAAGTAGAATATTTATTAGGTTAACCTAGCAGAAGGGCATGTTTATTTTTTTCTTGTCTCTTACTTCATATTATGTTGTATATAGAATATGCTATATGTATTAAAGATAATCCTGGAAAAATCATTTATTTCAAAGATTTTTCTTTTGTAGGCAGAATAGAATTTAAACATATTTAGGGAAGTTGACATGGATTGTCATTGAAAACTATATTTTCTAAGAAAACATAATTCACTATACATAAAATAGCAATGTTAAAGCATTAGACCATTTATTTATTGCTTATGCTTTTAATTAAAACCTTGTGATTTGATTTTACTGGTTCCTTTGTCAACAGAATTTTGTTTGGGTACTATTTCTCTTACACTGTCTGCACTTAACCCAAATCTGTTATAAATTGTTTTGCTGATGAATACCACTCCATCAGCAAAATGATATCATTACAGTACATACCACCTACTAAGAAATCATTAATTAATATGATGTAGAAATAGATTTTATACTAGAAGTCTAGTATAAGAAATATAGAAGTTATTTCCTGTTTCCATATTTATTCCATATTTATTTATGCATTTTGAATTTTGAATTATGCAAATAAATAATTTAGCATTAGGCTAATCAGTATCAATTGATGTTGGTTATTTATATTTTAGTACATTTGATTCCTGTTAAACCAATTAAAGACGATGGTCTGCATTCCAAGAATCGAAAGAGAATAATGCCTAATCCACTAACAGAGCCACCTGCTATCGATCCTATTTATGAAGCCCAGTTTTATTGTAATGTTCCCAGCATCTCTGAACGCAGTATGGAAGGTAACTATGCAATTTTGTTGTTGACTGCTCTTTTATTTTCATTTGCTTAATTCTATTGCAGTTTTGAAACCTTGCTAATAGAATGCTCTCAAATTCCAAACAGAAAGCAGCATTTAACATAAAAGTAAAGACACCGCTCAGACATTACCTACTAGCTTAAGCTTAACTGGAACAGCTGCTCAAATATAATTTTCTCCCTCCCCCACAGGACTGATCTAGTCATGCCTTGCATTTAAAATCCTTAGAAGCTGTAAGTAGAATGAATGGTTTTTATAGAAAAGCATGCAGCTTCTGAATCTGAGCTGCAAGAATTAGAAAATGGATTTTTTAAAAAATAGCCCAATTAGCACTATTATTTATATATAGTACAGCAGTAGTCTCTGTTAGGTCTGTACCTCATACAGAGGTTTTATGCAGTCATGGGAAATAGGTTCTTTGGTTACCTATTTGATTACTCCAGAACTTTTCCATCGTGGCTCCCTATGTTCGAATCAGGGTGCTTCCTCCTAAATGAGTTAAAATGTCTGGTCCAGCCGAAAAATAAAATAAGTATATGTTTTGCTGTCCCATCATCACTACCAATTGCCTCTTTCTGGCTTACAGCCAGAGGGCCTTCTCAGTATTACTAGGCAACCAATCAATAGCTCTGTCCATTGGCTTGTCAGAATTCACCCCCTCTCCTTTCACCCATCCCCCTCTCTTTTCCTGGGGACCAGCTGCCTAGTGCAAAAGAAAGAAGATGGCAGGGGAAAGGAGCTTTTCATCCAGAGCAATGACCTGCATCAGCCCAAATTATTGACACCCTGAAGCGCAGCTGACAGAGAGAATATAAGTAGGGCTTGCATGAAATGCATTCTGTTTCAATATCCAGTACCCTTATTAGCTGCTTTTTATATGATAATCAAAATTGATGAAACTGACAGGCATCTTGGAGTCATTGTGCTTGAAGCCACAGAGAAAAGGGTTCTTTCTCTCCTCCTTCACAATACACATACCACCACAAATACTTTTAAAAAAATAGTTTTTATTGCTTTTAAAATAATAACAGAAAAAAGCAAAAGAAATAAAACACAAGAATTCAAGCATTATCCAAAAAAAAAACAAAGAACCATATAGAAATAAGAAATAAGTGAAAATAAATGCAACTGAAAAAAAATTAAAGTATAAATATGCCGTTAGAACAATGAGCAGTCAGTTCCAATTCTATATATAATTATCTAATACATATCATTATTTTCATATATATTATATATAAATAAAACTCTTATATCTTTTCACCACAAATACTTCTCAGCTGCTATTTGGGATCAGCTTGGAGACCTCACCATTTTAGGGGGAGAACCTGGTTTGAAATAACTTTTCTTGTACTCAGGGCTGAATGGCCCTTATCACAATTTGTTGGCTGCCTTAGGAGGAAAAATGCTTAAGTAAAACTGAGAATAGATTGGGAAAAAGATGAACGCAATATTATGGGGACTTGGCAGTAAAAGAAGGATACCAGTTCATGTTCATGTAGTGGCTAAAAAAAAGTAAAAAAAAAAAGGTCCCAAATCCTACTGACTGAATTTAGAGAGAATTATATCCAGTAAGTGAGTATAAGAATGCAGCAGTTATTTCTCTATCATACTGTCAAACCTACTCAGAAGAGTTTATTTGGGGAGTTCTTGATCTAGCTAAATACCTCCTGGGTCACTTCATCTCTCTTGTGTGAAATATGTCTCTCACACAAAGAGTTTTATAACCTTTTGTGGAAAACGATCTCAACTGTTACAATTGTTCAGTGCCAAGGTTGTATATTTAATGAAAGGTGTAAATGTATTTTAAATTATTGGAGTTCAATTGGAATTCTAAAAGGGATCCCCTTTATGAGTCTATTCTCGCTTTTTTTCTTATAGGTCATGGACCTCACTATTTTAAACTGATTTCTGTTCATGTACTAATTCGCCATGGAGACCGATATCCTTTGTATGCCATTCCCCGAACAAAACGGCCAGACATTGACTGTACATTAATGCCTAACAGGTAACATTTCTGTATTATACTAATGCTTTGTATATTTTATTTCTACACAGATAATGTTAGTGCCTGATCAAAATTCATAATCATTTTTGAATAGATTGTCATCAGTTTAAGCACAGATCTACAAACTTTTTCTATAAAAGGATTCTTTCATGCTTTATTTCTATAGTGTTCTGAATATTCATTCACACAATATTGATAAACTTATATTCTTATTTTCCTTTCTCTTTCTGTCATTAATCTCCTTTCTCCCACTCCAAAATTGGTAGAATTTTCAACAGAGGTGACTCACAGCTGTAGAAAATATTTTAATCCTTTACTGAAAGCACTGGAATTTCAGCTGATTGGAAAGCATAAAGCTGACTTTCTGGTCTTCCTCCAATCAGTGCTAAAACATGTGTTGATGAGTGGGTGGATTTGTTAGTACTTAATAATATTATACTGGTTTTGTATTCTAGTTATTTTATACATAAATAGAGATGATCTTACCATTAGGTTTACAATTTAAAGATGCAATACTGAAGAGGAAAAGAAAATAATATCAATATTATCAATTCTAACATCTTAGATTTTCATAAATGGTGAAAAGGGTGTTGCATTATTGCTTTGAATATAAGAGAAGTTTGATGGAGGAATAATTGCCAGAATAATAACATATTAAAAAGTAAAAATAGATTTAAGATTGTTTTAAGATGGCAAAAGCCAATCATTTACTTATTCGTTTATTCATTCATTCTACTAGGCTTTTTCATTTTTAAGATAATATATTATGCCAATTCTGTAGAAAATATTCATTTCAATGGATGTTTTAATTTGAAGTTATAAAGAAGCTGGATATTTCAGCAGAATGACAATTGCAAATAAATTAAGATTATTTCCAAACTAGAAGGGTTCAGCAAGGAAGGGTGAGAAAATAATTCCAAAGGCAAGAATATAAATATTCTCATCTGATAATATAATAACTTTAGAAGCTATTATGTATGTCAAAGGAGGCAATACCAAGTACTGATTGAAAGAAGGCCCAAACATTGCACCTGACATATTTATACTGTTTTCTTACCTTGAATCTGTAAATAACTGTTCATAAATAGAATGCATTAAAATTTGAAGAATGTTGTGTTTAACTCTGTAACATGTAAATATTGTGTCTGTTTCTGTCTCTTCTGTCTCACTCAGTGAGTCAGTCTTCAGAAGCATCTCAAATTTTTCATACAATTGTGAAGTAAAATCATTTAAGAGAGAACCAAACTTACTAACCTTTTGTGATAAACACATTTCCTCAAATAGAATGCTGAAGTGAGCCATGCATAATAAATTTTCTAGAGTAGCCTTACTGGTGAATAGAAGTAAATTGAATTGGCTCTAGTAAGCAATTACATTTTGTAATAAGATAAGTGATGAATAAGTTGTTAATTGCACTGATTGGATTTTTAATGAACTTACTCTAGGGAATGAAATATTAATTGAAGAGAGATAATTTAAAGCCTTTTGGACATTTTATAGGACATGACAACCACAGTTCTAAAAATATCTGGTATAATAGTACTAGAAAAAAGTCCAAAGTTGTCAAAGGCATTCTATGATAATATTAATTAAATCACTATTTTAATTCTTCTATAAAGTTGAAAAGTAACAAAGCCAAAGCCAGCAAACCACATTGTAGAGACTTACATTGTAACTGTTATTTATACAAAGTTCTTTTGTTCTTTTTTTCTATGTAAAATTAGTTATGAAACAATATTGAGTTTATATCTTCTAATTTAGCTGTTATCCCCATGCAGTTGCTATTATGACAACGCAGTTGTGTAAGATTAGATGAGTGCTGTCCATATAACCTATGGTTTATGAAACATTTAGCCATTTAGCTACAAAAGTAGTATATGTGAAGTGAGTTTGAATATTTATAAATGGTAGTGTTTTCTTTGTTCATTTATGAACTTTTTTTCATACGTACTTATATGTCTATCACGCAGAGTAAGCTATGTTATGCAAAGCAGAAAAAAAGGAATAGAAATACAATCAAATCTACAGCATTTACTTTGCCCCTTTAATCCTTGCATCATATAGTTTCAGCCACTATATCTATGTATATGCTGCTTCATGTATCCCACTTTTTGGAGGATCTCCCGTACAACAGCAAATGACAACCTTCTTGGTCTTCCACTTGCTTTTAACCCATTTACTCATTTTTTATTTGTTTGTTTTTAATTTGATCTTTATTTATTCTTTGTATGTATGTGACCGACCACTTGCATTTTTGTTTTGTTTTGTTTTGGTCATATTTGCAGTCAGTCCACATTAATTCAGCACCATTTGTTCTTGACCTTATCTCTTGTTTTACCAAACATATTTCTTAATTACAGTACATTATTTCCAGAGTTTCTCCTTACATATAACAGGTTGTCATTTCCATTTAACAAAGTAGGTAGAAACAGCCATTTTCACTTTTTAAAAATTTCTTTCACAATCTTTATGCTACCTTATAGGTGTACATACTTTCAGTTTCCCCAACTTTAAGTAGTGTAATTGCTTTTATTTTTGCAATTTATATATTGCATATGACTTCTTTTACTCTATTTTCTCCATCAACATGGAAGAGAATATGTTGGAGTTGGTGAGAATGGAATAAGTTGAGAAATAAGGAAACCAGAACAAAACAGCAACTTCCTTTATCATTGCCAAAGTTGGGGGAGGCAGGAGTGGCACACAAAAAAAGGAGAAAGTAAAGTTCCTAGGGTTTGGATTGGATTCACTGGTATTAATTATTTAGAAATTGTGTCTGCTTTTTCTAATTCAATCCACTATCACCAATAATTGATTATACAGTAGCTAGTAATTTCCAAGAAAAAAACAGACCTTTTTTTCAAGGTGAAAAACCTTGTATGATAAACACTTGACAGTCCTATGGATACATTCAGCAAGAATTTGACTAACAAATGGCTGAGAGGTGGAGAATGGGGAAAGGGGAAAGCTTAACTCCATCCTTCAATGACAGCAGCTTTTGTGGGAGAAAGTTTATTGGGCAGAGAATTCCTGATTTTATGGTGGAAGATGTGCTCCTAGTGGATACTGATTAAGGGGTCTAGTTGGTTGGCAAAGCAGCATTGGTTGGATTGGCTATATCAACTTTTAATTAATGTATGTTGTAGAAAAAGGATAGGGTACTCAGCAGGCATTACAGGTCCAGATTTGATACAGGGGGTGGATAGACTATTTAAGGCATTTGGGGGGATATGCATTTTGGGACCACTTGGTAGAGAAATGAAAAAGGTCTGACAGTAGGCTTTGGTTATTATATTCAATTAGGATAAAGAGAGAGAGACAGAGAGAAACCTCTTATTTCATTCAGTCTGTTGTTCTTGTCATCTTTTATTCTTTTTCCTTTTAAAAATTATATTGTAATTACCATGTTTTGATTGCTGTGGGCTGCCTAGAATTGTTGGGAGTTTCAAGGTTACATATAACTCATACAGACCAAAGACATCAAGCATGCAGACATCTGTGGAGTTCTTAAATTAGAAAAAAAATCACAATTGGTAAGGATGCTAAATATCACAGAAAACAATTGATAGTGATGAAGTGAACTGAAATAACATAGTTTTGTTCTCTGGCCTTCAAAAATAAATGAAGATGCATAGTATCCTAGAGAAGTAAAAAGAAGTTTAATTTTAGGGTGAAAAATAATAATGAACTTAGACAAGATCATGTTATCTATTTCTGTGACAACACAGCCAGAATAGTTGAAACACTGTTTTTCCAGTAATGAATGGCTTTAAGAACTGAACAGTGAATAAGAAAGAAGAGAGAAAGAGAAGAATTATGACCTTGACTAAAAAAATAATGACTAAGGATACAGTGGACTTCAAGAGGCACTAATCAATCCATCCTGGTTTAAATAAAGACTAGAATAGGCTTTCATCAAAAAAGCAGAACTTCACAAACTGTGGGCATGTAACCCTATTTTATGGAAATCAAAACTGAAGAACCATTCTAGAAGCTCAAGCACACTAACAAAATACTTTTTTTATTGTGCATAAATAGCATCAATCTCCACACTGTTGCCTGGATACTGTTAATTGGCCATTCAAAAGAAAGATTCTTAATATGTTTTTTTAAATGGAAAAGTAATTAACCAATGAATGTACTTTCAGCTGCTTTGCATTTCTTTCTTTGCATTTCTTCAACTCCATTCTTTTCTTGTGAATACTAGCACGCCTAGTGAAACTTCTAGAATGTGGGAGTGCAGGATTTTTTTCTTGAGGTACAAATGCTTCTACATACTCCCTTTGAGGAGTAGCTTTTCATGAATGTATGTATGTTAGCATTGCTTAGATACTGTTCACTGAGACATAAGCAGAATGCTTTCTGACAAAAGCAGTACTGGTTTTTCATGAGGTAAATTGTAAATGTTAGTGTTTAGGATATAATAGTGAAGTGATTCTTAAAAGAGCTTCAGGTTTCTAAACAATACATTTTTATGTAATATTTCATTGGAAATTGAAAAGTCTTTTCAGTGTTTTTATATTGTTTTAGAAAGTTTGTTGTAAATTCTTAAGTTTTTATTGTATGTCATACAAAAGTATACAGATTATGCAGTATGATTGTGTGAGCAGATATTTCATGAAGAGTGTTGAAGAATATTCTTACAAGTAATAAATTATACTCAAATGCATAACAAATTCTGAAATGTTGTGTATAAATAATGTCAAGAAAAGAAAGTTTGTTAAATTCCTATTTGTTTCAAATTATCTCTGACATTTTTCTGGATAAGAATGAAGTTACAACTTTACTTGTGGGGATGGAGCTTGGTAGAAAGTGCAAAATGTTTCTTGATTCTTAGACCTGATTTGGAGACAAAGTGAAATTTGATTGCATGTAGGGGATCACTTTTTTAAGAGATGGGAGATAATGTGACTGTTAATCTTGGTGGATCTGTTAGCAGCTTTTGATATTGCTGACTGCACTAACGACTTGGTTTATACATTTAGATTACTACATTATATTGGGCCTGTTCCTATTTTTGCGGAATAGTATATATTCAACCAAGCAGAGAAGTCATTTATTTTAAATACAGGTAGTCTTCAACTTATGACCACAATGGAGCTCCACATTTCTGTTGTTAAATGCAACATTTGTTAAGTGATGTTTTTGCCCCATTTTACAACCTTTCTTGTCACAATTAAGTGAATCACTGCAGTTGATAGGTTAGTGACATGATGGTTAAGTGACTCTGGTTTCCCCATTGACTTTGTGTCAGCAGGTGATCACATGATTTGGGACAATTAAACTTTCCTTTATAACTGCAAAAATTGTGACAGATTTTTTTCAAATTCCACTGGAAAAAATGAAGGAACTATATTCCTACTGCAATTAAGCTTTTCGCCTCAAATTTCTTCAACTTTTTATGAGGTAAAATTAGGGCCTGACAAAACAAGTTAGCTTTTAAAGAGCCTTTTCCTAGATATCCAGATGTGTGTTCCACTGTATTGCTGAGATTAGAAGCTGCTTTCCTTAGGATAGAAGCCGAAGTCTGGCAAATAATATTTTTCACTGGCTAAGGCTCAGCTTGATGACTATGACACTTTTCTTAGTAATTGTTTCATACAGGTATACTATAGATTCAAGTACTGGAGAAATGTTATAAACAAATTGCACACCTGTGGCCTTTCCTGTGAATAGTTTCCAAGATCCTTGCTTCAACAATACAGTCAAAGTGATGACTAAGTAGTAGATTAAGGATATAGAATTACAAAGGAATACGGTCGAACTATCAGGTTTTATTGGTCTGTTAGCAAACATTCAAGATACTACCCTGCAATTTACCTAAAGCTGCATGCTATTCTAAATATAGGTAGTCTTTGACTTACAATCACAATTGGGCCTGAACTTCTGTTCTATGGGAGGCAATGGTTCAACGAGTCACACCTGATTTTATTATCTTTTTGTCATTGACGTGAATTACTGAGGTTGTTAAGTGACTCGTGTTACTAAGTGAATCCAGCCTCCTCCAATGCCTTTGCTTGTTAGAAGCTGGGAAGGTCTTAAATGGTGATTATGTGATGTCATGATACTGCAACTGTTGTAAATACATGCCAATAGCCAAGCACCTGAATTGTGATCATATGACCATGGAGACAGTCATAAGTCACTTTTTCAGTACTGTTGTAACTTTGGATCAGAGGTGGGTTTCAGCAGGTTCTAACCAGTTCTGGAGAACCAGTAGCAGAAATTTTTAGTAGTTCGGAGAACCGGTAGTAAAAATTTTGACTGCCCCGCCCCCATCTATTCTCTGCCTCCCAAGTCCCAGCTGATCAGGAGGAAATGGGGATTTTGCATTAACCTTTCCCTGGAGTGGGAATGAAAATTTTACAGTATCCTTCCCCTCCCCCGCCCACCATGCCACATCCACCAAGCCATGCAATGCCCACCAAGCCTCACCCACGGAACCACTAGTAAAAAAATTTAAACCCACCACTGCCTTGGATGACTACTAAATGAATGGTTCCAAATTGAGGACTACCTGTGTCATTGGGCCTTCTCCAGCCTGCTTGAATGCTCTTCCATCAGCTATCTTAGAGAGATATTAAGAAAGTGCTCAGCCATAGAGAAGCTTTGGGTATATCAATCAGGGGAGGATGAATTATTAGAGCATATATTCTTCAATGCATGTTCCATAATATTACTTTATATTTTTATAGGGTTTGTTTTTTAGTTTTAAAACTAAAGAGATATTTAAAAGTTGGCTGGCCTATAAATGAAATGAATAAATAATATGTTAAATAAGGTTACTGCAACCTGTAATAGTGAAAATCCCTGTCAACTCTGACACATTTTATGAGTATTAATTTTTTAGTTGCCATGAGCCCAAGATGGCATATATGATTGCAAAATACTTCTCTTTAGCATCTAGGATCCATTGTAGTAAGGCTAATATATATGTTTATTTGACTATTATTGAAAACATTTTGCATGGTTATATTTTATGGTTGGTCAATATGCATGAGTTCTTGGCTAAGATGATAATAAAGCAAAACTGAAATCAGTTAAGGAAATAATTTGTTTTAAGTTGTAATTATGCGTAATAATATCTGCAGTGAAATGAAAGCAGTTTGGCACCACCTTGTGGTATACAGTAAGTATTTAAAAAAATCAGACAAGATAGTAAACACTAGTCTGACTTATTTTAAGTGCTTCTTGTAATTTCAAAAATTCAAAATAACATCACATGGAAATTAAATTCATTTTTAAAAAAATCAGATTAACTTTTGGAATGCATAGCACTAGAACTATATACAGTAACTTTTCTTATTTTATTTTAAAACATAAAGTTTACTTTTCTTTTTAAAAGTATTTTTAAAATTCCCTACAAATTAATTGAATAAAAAAATAAGAACATCATAGTCTTTAAAGTGAGCACCCTTAAATAGATCATACCTCAATACAATAAAATGTCCAAAACCTGAAAAATGTTAGTAAAAAGTTATTTATAGTATCAATAGAGTTACGTCTATATTAGATTAATGGGGATAATGAAAGTTGTTGTATTTGTATTAGGATATGTGCGATGGCTTAGTGGTTAAAAATGCTGAGCTTGTTTGCTGGAAATTTGACAGCCCAGATTTGAGATCTGAGTATTGCATGACGATATGAGCACTTGTTCCTTGTCTCAGTTTCTGCCAACCTAACAGTTCAACAACATGCAAATGCAAGTAGATAAATAGGTACCACTTCAGTGAGAAGGTAATAGCATTCCATGTATCTTGGTGTATAGTCACGCTGACCACATGACCATAGTAGTGTCTTTGGACAATGCTGCCTCCCTTGGCTACGAAACAGAGATGAGCACCACCCTCTAGAGTCAGACTCATTTGGACCTTTACCTTTACTTGTATAATATGTGACATTTATTTATTTGTATCCTGTCTTTTATTTTTACAAATAACTCAAGGGGATGAACATATCAAACACACCTTCCTCTTCCTATTTTCCTTGCAACAACATCCTGTGAGATGCCTCAGCTGAGAAAGAGTGACTGGCCCAAAGTCACCCAGCTGGCTTTCATAGCTAAGATAGGACTTGACTTACAGTCTCCTAATTTCCAACCTGGTGCCTTAACCTCTAGACCAAGTATATATAAATATATAAAAACTTCTAAGAAAAATACATAGAAATTGTTTATATTTTCTTGCGAACCAGTAGTAAAAGCGGCGGGAGGCTCCGCCCACCCACCCGGATGTCATCATGGATGATCTGTGCATGCGCAGAAGCATGCATGTTTGAGTGAAGCATGAGCACGCGCGTCCTCCCATAGCAAACAGGTAGTAAAGGTAAGTAGAACCCACCCCTGTTTCATACCCTTAAATAGCTGTTTTGGTTAATCTCTTTTAGAAAGCCTTCCCATCCTTTGCTTGAAGCTTTTATTAGCCATATGTCTAAAGGATCAGAAGCCCAAATGGATGGATCTTTGAGCAGCCTGCCTCGATACCCAAGCCATTCACTGTGTGAAATGGGAGAACTTACGCAGACAGGTACATACATACAACTGGTTTATTTTCATTTCTAATAAAAATCAGTATGCTGGTGATGCTTTGATTTTTTTTCTTAAAAGTTTTTGAAAAGACTTAAGAAATGTTTTAAATGCCTTTTCAGGGAACATATTGATCCTTTCCACAGCATAATATAGTTTCAGTAAGAAATTCTCATTTTTCCTCCCTTGTCTGAATAACTCTTTAAAACTAGCATGATTCCTGTTTTTAAGCCATTTTGTATTTGGCTGGTCAGTTGAAAAAACTTCTGGTATAGTTACTGATATATATAAAAAGACAAACCTACCATTTGGTTTGTAATCTAAAAATACAGTGCTAAAGGAAAAAGGGTCTTAAGAGGAAAAGTAAACAGTAACAAATTTTCATGCTTTAAAGATACTAGACTTTGGTGAGGTTCCCTTAACTTTGAATGCAATTGTAGTCCTCTTAACAAAGTTCTTTAAAATAATGAGCTGTTTTTATTGAAGTACAGTTTACAAATAGCTTTCTGCTTTCCCCTAGCTGCACTTGCTATAAATATAAATAAATAATAAACAGGAAGCAGTAGTATTGCCTCCCTTGTACTATGTTGTTTTAGCCTGACATTATCAGAAAAAAATGGATTGATCTTAGAACTTGGCTTTCCATCAGTAATTTATGTCATAATGTTATATAATGTTAATGTATTTTTTTATTATTACATTGATTAATATATCGTGATTTTGGTGAGTCTTTGTGTTTTTCTGGACTGTATTTGTTAAACAGAATTGTCTTTAGAGCTAAGCTGCTGTAGTAATCATTTGTGAAGAAATAAGATAATTGAATTTTTTTCTTCATAGTTTGTTAAATTAAATTAGTCTTTCAATATTTTTTAAAATATTATTTATGTCTAAGTGCTGATTATATGGTTATACAACCAGAAGGTACATTTTGTTATTCTTCAGAATAATAAATTGTGGGTTTGGTGCTTGTTAATTAGTGTTGCGTAAATTTCAAAAGAGTTTTTACCTCTGATGATGGCTAATGGAAGCATCCTGTTTTGAAATGGTACATTACTTACATTCTACTAAAATTTACATAATGTTAATTGCATCCTTTGTTATAAAGGAAGCAAAAATAAATGTAGAAAATTTAAAGGAAGATTAACAGAAGAGTCAGAGCAGAGAGTAGGACAAATTGAAAAGATGGAAAGGAAAAGAAAATAATGTTGCTATATAAAACAAGAAAAAAGAAACAGTGTTTTGATAATCATTCTATAATAAATTATGTAGAAGTTTTGTTGATGAATCTACAAACAGGAACATACCAGGGTAGCCTATACCTTAAGGTCTGCAAAAACTGGATGGGTTTAAGGGATGAGTGGTTCATTCAAAATGCAGCCCAGAGCGCCCATAACAATTTTTGTAAAGTACAATGAAAACAGGGAAAAAAGATTATTACAACCATGAAGGCATTTTCTGGCAAATGTGGCATTCTTCAACAACAAAACCCACCATGACCATTTGATGCCATTCTGCCAAACAAAGCCAGTTGGTTGCAGATAGGGACTTTACTTTGAGCAACAGTGCCTGATCAGCCCTTTTGTTATGGAAAGGTTTCATTTAGCACAAAGTTTGTTATACTATCAATATTCTACTTTCTACTTGATCTACTTTATTTAGAAGTTGTGACAGGTCATGCTCATTTCATGGGAAATAACTTCTGTGTTGTTTCATGGGGCTTTTTGGGGAATGGAAAGATATTGACAAGAAAATAATATGCTGATTAAATACATCTAGAGAGCTTTATTTATTTATTTATTTAAAATGATTGATTGATTGATTGATTTGATTTGATTTTTATCTATTTTTTAAGTAACTAAACATGGCAAACATATCTAATACTCCTTCCTCCTCCTATTTTATCTACAACACCTAGACCATGAGCTAGGTGGGGCTGAGAAAGAGTGACTGTCCCAAAGTCACTCAGCTAGAGCTGAGCTAGGTGGGGCTGGAAGAGTTTCTTGGTTTCCTGGTTTCTAGCACCTTCTGATTTTAAAAGCTCCTCATAAATTAGTGTTGCATACCACTTTTTAAAAACGAAGCATCTGCATTGCTTTGCTTCACTTTACCATAAAGCCTCATTTAGCACCTCTAATAATTTAAGAAAGTTTCTAATATGTGCAAAAGCTTTCCCTTTTCCAGTCAGCTAGCAACAGCACCAGAATAAGCTTCTAATGTTTATTTGATACCTCTTTAGGACTTATTGTTATATAAATTATTAATCTTATTTTACATAACATTAAACAAATGTAAATAAATGCACATGGCTAAGGTCTCCTAGATTTTACTTAGAGGAAGGCTTACCTTGTTTCTTTCTTTTTAAAGGAATTGTACAACACCTACAAAATGGACAATTGTTACGTGACATATATATAAAGAAGCATAACTTGCTACCAATTGATTGGACAAGTAAACATCTGTATTTGGAGACCACTGGAAAGAGTCGAACTCTGCAAAGTGGACTAGCATTACTCTATTCTTTTCTACCAGACTTTGATTGGAAGAAAATTAATTTTAGGAATCAATGGAGCACAATTTTTTGTTCTGGACACTGTGAATGCCAGAGAAGAAACCATTACCTGGAGGAAGAGCAACGTCGCCAGTATAGCCTCCGAGTGAAAAAAATAGATTTGGAAAAGACTTATGCAGATATGGCCAGAATAGTTGGCATTCCCACCCGGCAGTTAAGAGCTTCTAATCCCATTGATTCTATGTTGTGCCACTTCTGCCATAATGCCAGCTTTCCCTGTACTAAGAATGGTTGCATAGACATCGAGCACTTTAAAGTAATCAAGAAACATCAACTTGAAGATGAAAAGGAGAGGCAAAAAAAGAAATATTATTATTTGTATGCACTACTAGCCACCCATCCAATCCTGAACCAAACAGTCAATCGGATGTTAAGGATTGCAGAAGGCAAGAAAGAAGAATTATTTGTTCTTTTCTCTGCTCACGATGTTACGTTGTCACCTGTTCTTAGTGCCTTAGGCATCACTGGGGCCAAGTTTCCAAGGTTTGCTGCTAGACTAGTCTTTGAGTTATGGAAAGATGAAAAGAAATATAATGAAAACTTTATTCGTATCCTTTACAATGGGGTTGATGTTACATTCCAAACTTCCTTCTGCCGGGATTTTAACAAGCATTTTGGCAAGATGATGTGTCCTTTAGAGAAATTTGTCCATTTTGTTAAGCAGGACATGTTTTCACCTTTTAATACCACTAGTTACTATGATGCATGTCGCAGAAGACCGTTCTAAACGGAAGAGGAATAAAGTATTTGATTTTGCATTGTTAAAAGTTTGTCTTTGAGGAAGTTTGATATTGTCAAAAGTCTTGTGTGCCTAAGTGCAAATGCATATAGCTTGAAATTATCTTACTTTTGCCAAAATTCATTCTAGATTAATTTAAAATGCCATATCCCATTATTAACCCAGAAGTATAAAAACTATTTTCTTTATGGTCAACATGATTTGTTGCATAATTGATGTAAAACAGATATTGCTTGAGTAACTGAATACATATATTCTGATTACGTAGCATTCTACTGCAAAGATTTAAACATGAAAGCAAATATTAACAATCCCAGTTGATATCATAGCAGAAAGTTTTTCTTCATTTCACAAACCCATTATTATAATCAGTTATTTTTAAAGAGTTAAAAAAAGCAGCCATTAAAAAAAAGAAAAAGGTGTTTGATTCAAATGTTCTTTGCACATCAGGTTCTGGATACACTTGATCTTAAGCTATGTGTTTCACTTACACTATAGATTGAGTAAAGATTGTTCAAGATGGGGCAGTATTATTTCAAAACTACTCTTTTGAACATGTGGACAATCTCAATCCCTGTAATCAGTGACGTTGAGGAGCACCAGCATTGTAAAAAGTATCTTGTACATGACCAGTGTGGATCAACCTATACAGAAGCTACATAAGACTCCATTTACAATATTGCAGCCGCCTTCTAGAATTCCAAACATATGGAAGCAATTTTTGTTAGAAATCATCATGCCATATACAAAACAACCCGTAGATTATATTGAAAGAAAAACTCTGTTTTTGCACTTTTAGCACTTTATGTGTACTTTGAACACTAATTACAAGTTGTGCCAGATGCTAGAAAAGGATTCAAAAGAAAATACAGAGGAGATAGACATGGAGAAAAAAGTTTTTACATCTTTATTCCACTTCTTTAGAATCTATCTGTTGAAATAATTTATGCTGTAAAAAAGAACAACAATGTGTTTACCATTTGGCTGCATATGACCAAAAGACAACTTAACACAAGGCTTAATTTTGTAGTCCCATTAGTACTTTTATAGACTAGGGAATACATTTTATAAAGTGAAACATCTTTTTTACATTATAGTGACATAACTGTTTTCTACTTTCTTTGTAAAAGAATGTCAAAACTAGTGTTTCAAACAATCTTTTAATCTTGGTACTTAGATTCATGCAGAAAAATCTTATGAATAATCTAACTTGATAAATTCATAACGTAAAAATGAACAGTTCATTTCAAAATGTTTTCATCATACAGTACAATGTTTTTTAAAACTCTGGTAATGCTACATTTTGTATTTTAAGTAGCTTGTATATACTCAGAACCATAATTTAGTGAATGTTTTAAGGTAAAATGGTGCTAGCAGTTAAAACTAGCTGTGATTTCTATTCAAGCTTTACTGGCTTTTCGGCATCATTTTGACGATACGTTTAGATGTTTCTATAAATAAAATTTTGAAGAATTTTTAGCAGTAGTCGTTCTTTAATGCTAATCTTTATGTAGTAGTGCTGGGTTTGTTTGTTTTTTAAATAAAAATATTGATTGTTTTGCAGGAATATTACATGTTCATTCTGTCCCTGTAGGTGTGTAACCTAGTCTATTTTTGTACTTAACTTAATATGCATTTTAAGAAAAAATTGTAACTGCATAAAAAGTTCCAAATGTGGTTATTACCAGATTTGTGGCAGTTTGGTCTAATGGTTAAAGGTTTTGGATTAGCAGCTGGAAGACTGATTGGTAGTTCTACTTTAGGCAGGAAGCCATCTGTGTGACTGGACTAATTACATTTTCTCAACCCTGGAAAGAAAACAGTGTCAAACTACTTCTCAAACTGTTGCCGTGAAAACTGAAAAGACTTGTTTAGGCAGTTGCCAGGAGTCAAGAGTGACTCAAAGATAGAAAAATAAAAGAAATAAAAACTATTTGACATTTCATAGAATTTATAGTAGACATTTCATAAAATGTATATCATTAATGTTATATAAAGCTTTTCAAGCAAATTTCATAAAATTGAAAATTCCTCCTCTCCAAGCCCTATTTCACTAGTGGCAAACATACCTGAATATTTCCTGCTTTAAATTCTCATAATACATAAAATACCAAAAATTAAACAGTTCTAACAGGTAGAAAGTTGAAGCTATTTATAATTCATCTAAAAGAGTAACATACAGAAATTTCACTTGGGTTTTCCAAAGGTAGTAATAAGGAATGTACATGCCCTTTAGAAATTATTCTTTGCAGCTCCTCCAAAAAGATTCCTAGAATTGAGATGTCCACAGGGAGGATCTGTATTTCCTTTATGAATTTCTAACCTGAACCTCTGTGCAGGGCTTCCAGTGCACTTAAGATTCTTGGGAAGATATTTGGAAGTAAGTACATTGATTCAAATTCAGACAGGTATCATGAAATGGTTGAATTAAACTAGGATAATTTATAAGTCAAATCAAATGTTGCAAATAGATATTACATGAGCAAAACCCACAAGCAGCACAGAATTATACACACATAAGATTGGAATTAATTCAAATAGTAACTGTGGGGTACCATTAGAGAAAAAACATCAGCTACCGAAGCAATTCAAAGATTGGAATAATTCTATGTGATCCAGTAATGCACTAAAAACATCTGGAGAATGAAACTGACATGATTGGTTATGGTATAGTCAACCTGCCAAAGATGTATAGCTTGAATTACAGTAAATTATATACTTTCTGATTTCAATTCAGAGTGATATATAAATTGGAGACTCATAACTTACCTTGTTAGCTTACTCTAAATCTTACCTAATCTTAACTCTTGTTGCACTAGACTAGGGGTGGGCAAATGTGGCTCTTTTACAACCTGTGGGCTTCAACTGTCTCAGGAATACTGGGAGTTGAAGTCCACAGGTTGTAAAAGAGCCACATTTGCCCACCCCTGCACTAGACATACCGGTACCACCCATGTCTAGTGCAACAAGATCCCCTAGTTCAAATGACATTTACTCTATGTTTATATCCACATTATGATAAACTGCAATATCACAAAACAAACCAATATTCCACCACAAAAACAAAAGCCTATTTCTGATTGAAATATATCCTAAAGGGATCCTAAAGGGAGAAATTTACCATCTAACAAAACTTTATAACATTAGGAAAGAACGAGAGGTTAATCTATCCCTAATCACATACCTCGATTTTAATTTACATGAAAGCTGGGACATGATCAGTGAAATAAAGACAAGGATAGAGAAAGCTCGAACAGCATTCTTCAAAATGAAAAAGGGCTTCTGCAGTCACGACATAAGCCTAAGACTGAAAATCAGGCTTGTCTTTTCTATCCTGCTCTACAGAGTAGAGTTGGTCTCTGACAGAAAGCCATTCGAAGAAACTGGAAGGATTTAAAACGTGGATTTACAGACTGCTATTACATATAAACTGGGTTAACAATCACAAATGAGGTGATAAACCCCCTGGGAAAACAGCCATTAAAAAGCCAAAGAATATTTTGGACACCTGATGCGACACCCAGAAAAATACAGCATCCTTTACTTAACCCTCCAGGGAAAGATTGAAGGCAAATGAGGTCCAGGCAGATGAACATTATGGCTTCAAAACCCAAGGGACTGGTTTGGACAAAACTCAGCAGCACTTTTTCATGTGGCTGTTGACAAAAATAGGATTGCCAACATGATCGCCAGTGTCTGATGACAGATATGCCATAACAAGAAGAAGAATCCCTAATTAGGTATATGAAAATGGCAGAACTCGGCACATACTAGCAACAAACAGTCCTTTTATACTAGAGGTTGTGCTATGCTGCCACTGAAAAGTCATTCATCAATGTACAGGACAATTGTCTGAATGGTTGAAGTTTTCTATGGAATCTTAAATCCTGATAACGATATCAAGCTATGGAAAAAAAAATGGGGATGGAGTTAGCAATTTCCATATTGATTTAAACAGAGAAAGTTCTTTATATTTTGAATATCAATCAGCCTTAAATTTAAATTTGCACTTCTAGTATGTGATAAAAGGCATTCACAGTTCCAAGAGTTCTCAATGAACTTTATATTGATGAAAATAATTTTAATTTCAGTACAATATTTATAATAATGTATTCCTAAAATGTATGCTTTAGGACAAATGCACATAAAAAACATAGCAATGTATTTGTGAATGTTATTGCTAGATGCATACAGGAGCTTTTACGTAGAAGTTAAATATATGCAAATTACAGCAGAAATAAAGTTAACAATACAAAAATTACAGACCAAGGAAAGTCATGCTATTTTGATTGTTTTGTGTTGAGCATATTTCAGTTTCACATAACACTTCTTGGCTCAAATGCATTGTTCAAAAAAGTGTTTTTAACTTCAAAAAAGGAAGACTTAAAAAAATAGTAAAGATAACATTGTTGCTGAAATATACTGAATATTCATTCTGAAACTGCAAAGGCTAAGATTCCCCTCTAGTGGCCAACCACTATATTTATTTTAAATAACATCTCTTTAAAGTCTAACCAAATTTACTATTATATAAATTTTTATATGGCAAAGGGGTTACAACTTAAGATGCCATGAGACTCTTTCTTTTCTGCTTTTTAATACCATACTTTTTGTTTTTTAATGTCTTACTTCAAAAGACTAAATGCACAATATTTACAATTATTAAATAGTTCTAGTTAAAAAAAATTAAATAAATTCCACTATTTCTTTCTGGAAGAAAGTGAAGGAGAAGAAGGAAAATTAAAAATAGAAAATTAAAACAAAATATAAGTCTAGTTTACAAAACAACAACAACTACTCTTCACTATATTTTTCTGTTGTTTCAAACGACCCTTGCTTCCATCCTTATATTTATTATATTTATTTATTAATTATATTTATTTATTGCCTTTTGTTATTTAAAATTTTCACCTCCCTCTCAGTCTTTCAGGATCTCATCCTATGCTATATATTTCATTAGATAGACAAAAATTGTACAAAAGGAAGCCTACAGAAAATCTAGTTTAAATCAACAACTTTAAAAAAAGTATTTTAAAATCTTAATTCTATTAAATTATGTGCTAACGCAACAATCTAGATGAAAATACATTGTATTTTACCTTATTCATTCAATCTATACTTTCATTTTCCTAAATGTGTTAGCCAACTCCATTCCCCAAGTTCATCTCACTTTCAGTCAGACCTGTACTTCCTATTTCATTTCTCTTAATTTCACAAATACACAACATGAGAAAACAAGAAATGACCATAAATAAGCTTATCTGCTGACTCCTGAGCCCCAAACTTCCTTGACCACATATTTATTCTTCTACTGTAGATTAAAGGCACCATCTGACAGACCCCAAATCACTACTGTACCTAGTAGCTGGTACCAATTTTGAGGATGTGTCTGACTTGCTGCCAGCATCCCCTTAATCAGCAATACTAACTCGGCAGTTTCTCCAATACACTTATTCCAGATTAAGCTTGGCACAGAGTCACTTGCCATCTCCTACCAAGTTACAAAGCAGAAGCAGATTGATAAGTCTGTTGCCTCAAATAGCAATAAGACTTATATACCACTTTACAGTGCTTTATAGCCCTCTCTAAGTGGTTTACAAAGTCAGCATATTGGCCCCAACAATCTGAGTCCTCATTTTACCCACCTCAGAAGGATGGAAGGCTGAGTCAACCTTGAGCCTGGTGAGATTTGAACTGCCAAATTGGAGGCAGCCGACAGTCAGCAGAAGTAGCCTGCAATACTGCATTCTAACCACTGCGCTACTGTGGCTCATGATCATGGATCAGTGTTGTTAAGGATATTCTTGGCTCATAACTGATGTTGTGGATTATTGAGCAGAGTACCCTTTGAGTATACGCATGAAAATGACTGAGAGTGGTTGTGAACAATTACAGTTAACATACAAACACACTGAGTTGTTGTAGTCTTTTACTTTTAGAAAAAAAGTAAAGCAACGTCCAAAAACAATCCAAGTCATACACGGGTAAGGCGAGAGTTAAAAGATCAATCCAGGGATATTTCAAGTACAAAGTCTTCTTACCAGTTGTAGTCATACACAATAAAACAGTTCTTCTTGAGTTTCAAAACAGGAACAAGTTCAATATTAAAACATTCAATAAATAGTAGAAAGAAACATGTAGCTATGATCAAACAGTGATCATGCAGAGAGATCAGGTAGAGAGTTACAGCAAGTAAGCAGGTAAAATGGTGTAATATCCACACAAGCCATGATTCAGACTTCCCTTAAGTACATTGGCTACAGAGCTTAGCCAAACAGGATACAGGATGATGCAATATAGTCTTAAAGTAATATAATACCTTTCTGACTGCAAACATACATTGTTGGTTTATATATTGGCTGACCAACTAGTTAGACAAATAACCATTTCCTAACAAGTGTGATCTAACATTAGCAAAGGATATCTTCTGGTCAAATATTGTGAAGATGCTGCTTCAGAAATGCATGTATTGACT